TTGATGAAGCTATCTGACAGGTTACTGCATTGCCTGGGCGTCACGGTGACCGACACATATTGGTCACATTGATGAAGCTATCTGACGGTGGACTGCATTGCCTGGACGTTACGGTGACCGTGTTAATTATATTGGTCACTTTGGTGAAGCTATCTTAAAGGTTACTGCATTGCCTGGACGTCACGGTGACCGACACATATTGGTCACATTGGTGAAGCTATCTTACAGGTTACTGCATTGCCTGGGCGTCACGGTGACCGACACATATTGGTCACATTGGTGAAGCTATCTTACAGGTATACTGCATAGCCTGGGCGTCACGGTAACCGACACATTTTGGTCACATTGGTGAAGCTATCTTACAGGTTACTGCATTGCCTGGGCGTCATGGTTAGCGCCATATATTGGTCACATTGATGAAGCTATCTTACAGATTACTGCATTGGCTTGGCGTCACGGTGATCGACACATATTGGTCACATTGGTGAAGCTATCTGACAGGTTACTGCATTGCCTGGACGTCACGGTGACCGACACATATTGGTCACATTGATGAAGCTATCTGACAGGTTACTGCATTGCCTGGACGTAACGGTGACCGACACATATTGGTCACATTGATGAAGCTATCTTACAGATTACTGCATTGCCTGGACGTCACGGTGGCCGACACATATTGGTCACATTGGTGAAGCTATCTGACAGGTTACTGCATTGCCTGGGCGTCACGGTTAGCGCCATATATTGGTCACATTGATGAAGCTATCTAACAGGTTACTGCATTGCCTGGGCGTCACGGTGACCGACACATATTGGTCACATTGGTGAAGCTATCTGACAGGTTACTGCATTGCCTGGACGTCACGGTGACCGACACATATTGGTCACATTGGTGAAACTATCTGACAGGTTACTGCATTGCCTGGACGTCACGGTGACCGACACATATTGGTCACATTGATGAAGCTATCTTACAGATTACTGCATTGGCTTGGCGTCACGGTGACCGACACATATTGGTCACATTGATGAAGCTATCTGACAGGTTACTGCATTGCCTGGACGTCACGGTGACCGACACATATTGGTCACATTGATGAAGCTATCTGACAGGTTACTGCATTGCCTGGACGTCACGGTGGCCGACACATATTGGTCACATTGGTGAAGCTATCTTACAGGTTACTGCATTGCCTGGGCGTCACGGTTAGCGCCATATATTGGTCACATTGATGAAGCTATCTTATAGAAGCCTGGGCGTCATCTTACAGGTCTTACAGGTTACTGCATTGCCTGGGCGTCACGGTTAGCGCCATATATTGGTCACATTGATGAAGGCGTCCGGGTCGGTGACCACATCACGGTGACCGTCACATTGATGAAGCTATCTTACAGATTACTGCATTGCGGGCGTTGGCACCTTACAGGCATTGACGTCACGGTGACCGACACATATTGGTCACATTGATGAAGCTATCTGACAGGTTACTGCATTGCCTGGACGTCACGGTGACCGACACATATTGGTCACATTGATGAAGCTATCTGACAGGTTACTGCTTTGCCTGGATCACGGCGATCGACGCACATCGGCCACGTTGCAGTGACGTTAGGCATGTCGAACGGCCCTATTCTTACAATAAATTAGTTGATAATGTTCAGAATTCTTACAATAATATAGTATGACCAGAAATTATTGAGAATTTTAGGAATATGTTTAATTGGATTTCTAGTATAAACAACCTTGACCGGGCTATCAAGTGCTTGGTTTAATTCAAGAGAGACAACTCCGTTAATCCTTTTTCATTAGTTTGTGAAGAGTTCTCCTCCTTTGTTTACTTGCTAGCAGACGACATTTTCAGTGATCCTCAGTATGGATGATTTAGGGAAGAGGAAGTTGATTTTAGAGTATTATAACAAGGACATCAGATCAGCTAAAGTGATTTCAAGTAGAACAGGCATCCCTTTGTCCACTGTTTATCGTGTTTTGAAAAATATTGCAAATGGATATAGCATTGAGCACCAGGGAGGCGCAGGTAGGCCCAGAAAATTGACTGTCGGTGACAGGAGGCGGCTTGGTATTCTTGTTTCTAAAAACAAACGAAGGAGTTTAGAAAACTTAAGGCTGGATATGATTGATAGAGGAACTGTGGCTGTCTGTAAGGAGACAATTAGAACTGAGCTGCATGCAATGGGTTGGCAGAAAAGTCGAGGAATTCCATCACCGATCATGAAACCTGAACAAAAGGAGCGAAGGTTGAACTGGTGCTTACAGCATAGAAATTTTAACTGGGACAATGTGATTTTCTCAGATGAAAGTTCTGTGTGGTTGTTTCCTAATACACTGAAATTCTGGACCAAACAAACTGAAAACCTTTTGTATCAGCGCCCAAAGTACAGTCCGAAATTTAACGTGTGGGGTGGCATATCTGTGTTAGGGGCAACGCCCTTCTGTGTATTTGAAGGGAATATGAACAGTGAGCGGTACACAGATATTTTCGAGGGACTTTACTTCCATCTGCTCACGTGTTCTATGGAAATTTTTTGATTTTCCAGCAGGACAACGACCCAAAACATCGTTCAAAGCATTCACAGGCCTGGTTTCGGACCCAAAATATGACATTATTAGATTGGCCAAGCTATAGCCCTGACCTAAATCCAATAGAAAATGTTTGGGGACTTATGAAGGAAAGTGTCAATAAGAAAAATCTGACAAATATTGCTGAAATGAAAGAAGAGGTGGTCCGATATTGGGACAGCATGGACCACGACTCTCTAACTTCTTTGATCAGTAGTATGCCCCGCCGCATAGAAGCCTGCATTGCTGCCCATGGTGACTTGACAAAATACTAACTGTTCACCTGTCTTTGAATCTGGAGTTGTGTTCTTCTAATATTTACATTTAATACGTGAGTAATGAGTGAAAAAAACAAATTACAATCTTAAATTCTCAATAATTTCTGGTTGTACTGTATTTCCCTCATCTTGCTTCAATCAAATATAACCTGTCTGATTACCTGCCTTAGTTACCTAGCTTGGCTACCAGTCTAGGTCATCAGGTCAGGTCACCCCGTCCTGGTCACCCTGTCTTGGTCATACTGTCTAGGTTCCACTCAAACCCTTTCCTTCCTTGATAAGCTATTGCATCAGTTTAATTGTACGCCAATCACGTCGTGTTAATACTATCAAGGTCAACTCTCTTGGTCACGTGTATTGTTACCGGTCTTTGTCACCTGGAGTGTATGTAAATCAACTGCCATGGTCACCTACCGTGTCACCTACATTATACATCGATCGACTTCATTCATCATACACTCATCACTTCGTGTTACTGGTAACCCTATATAGGTAACTTCTCTTGACCATCTGCATTGTCACCGGTCTTTGTCACCTAGAGTGTAAACACACTAGCTTGGTCACCTAACGTGTCATCTACATTATATATTGATCAACAACATTGGTCAAATAACGTGTCACCTATATTATCCATTGACTAACTACCTGGGTTATCTACAGTGTCCTGTACATTGCTTATTGATCAACTGGCTTGGTTCCCCATCTTAAACGTCTGTTGATCAGCTGCTACAGAAAGACGTCACATTTGTTGCCAAGATTGAAACTGGTATTATTGTTGTGTCGTGATTGTCCCTGACTGTGACACGTTCGAAGTGTGTCCATTGCATCAACACTGCAGTGTAAAATGATGGAGTGAGTTTAGTTTTACGCCGCTTTTAGCAATATTCCAGCAATATCACTGCAGGGGACTTAAAAAAATAGGCTTCACACATTGCACCCATGTGGGGAATCGAACCCGGCTCTTCGGAGTGACGAGCGAACGCTTTAACCACTAGGCTACCCCATCGCCCCGTAAGATGATTGAAACCAACCATGATGGTTTAAAATATGTTATGACAATATTATCCACTGTGATTCAACATACTTCTATGTGAGGTTTTGTTCTGGGATATACATTGTCCTTAACCCTTCCGTCGGTAATTACACATTTTATCAACGCACATTAATCTATAAGTATCTGAGCTAATACAGAGTAAGTAACACTTGAAGTTAAACGATTCAAAATGTACACACAGTCACACGAAACAATATACACACGTGGCACGACAATGCAACAGGTGATAGTGATAGTGCCACTCCCATCCCAATATATAATTAGAGTATGTCACTCGTTCAGAGGCCTGGTTATCTTAATCTGTTTACATGGTAAACATACAGCTGCTGTGTGCTGACATTGGGAAACATTATCAGAAGGTCATCTTTACAAATCATGGCAACATGTCAGTTGAAGAAATAGGAGACACGAAATTCACAATTAATCTGAGCATTGCAGAAAAAAAGTATGTCGGTATAAATCCTGTCCCACTTTTATCATTGGTTGGTCACGAGATCTGGTGGTCAGGCTCGCTGATTTGAATGACACATGTCATCGTATCTCAGTTACGGACATTGATGCTCATTCTGTTGATCACTGCATTGCCTGGTCCAGACTCTATTTATAGACCGCCGACAAATAGCTGGAATATTGCTGAGTGCGGCAGCAACCAAACAAACTATGTTCCTTCCTTTGGTTATCTCTGTCCCCAACTCTTTCCAACCTCGGCACCATTTCAGGCCATTCCCTGTCCTCCATATTCCCCAGCATCGTCTCCTTCCTTGATGGATGCTAAATAACCACTAACCATACAGCATAGCTTCTTGTCTACTGTGACTGGTAACTTACTTTTGAAAACAACGTAGGAGGATATTTGTACTCCGAATGCGACTTGCCAAATGCAGAAATTCGAATGTTTGTTTTGCGTCCTAACAGCAAACATCTGTTGTAGGTCACAAATTATCGTGGAATATGGGTCACGTATACAGTATTTCAGCAAAATGTGTTTTGAAGTTAGACTAGTAAAACCGAAAGTTGTCTATTTTTGCCGCTTTTAAATGCAACGACACGAGGATGGTAATGATATAAGTATAACACAGAGGCCAATAGGTAACCGTGCTTAGCTTTCAACATGATTTATTTGTGTACGAGTGATACAAGTTTACTATTTTACACAAGATTAATTGTATGGAGACGATTGGTTCATGGGTTGGACGCTTTGAACAGTTTCAATTGACTGCGGTAGTGAAATGGATGTGTGTTTTGTATCAGAGATGACCATATCAAAGCACAACATTGTCTGGATTCATACTTTCTCAATAAACACATAGGCCAGAAGGTATTCGCTGTTGAATGTCTCAGGATTATAGTCAAGTAGATTGTGTTTCAGATCGGAGTAGAAGTCATCAAGGAGGTCGTCCTTCTCGGCAGCTCTCCTGGTCGCTGCTAGGGCGGACTCCATTGTGCCTTGTGTCCATACACGGATCATATCCGCCATCCCATGGGCAAACTTTTCACGGTCATCAATTCCGTCTACGAATGTAAATTGGCATTCGTTAAATGTAGATGTAATGAAATACATACCTGATTGAGAGCATGCTAAAATACCCTAGTCTATTATTATCTATCGACAGCATGCAATTATATGTCAACAATATTTTGATTTTTACATGATGTTTGAGTGTAGAAACATACCAGCATCATGCAAGCCTTCGCAACTGTAATCTGTAATTTTACTCGTGTCGTTGCGTGTCGTTGCTGTCTGTATGGACTGGTTTTGGTCAACTTTGGTACAGCTGAAATATCTGTGTGTGCGGCGTTATGCAAGCAACAAATGCATCAATAGAGACAGAATCCTCTTGAGGGCGACAGTCTAGACGGCAAACATTAACGTACCTTTCACGAGACGGTTCCTCCACTTTGTCTTGTGTTGACATTCGATCTGTTTAACTTCCAGTTGAGACAGTTTTAGTCCAGATATAATGATGGGCGATGTGAGGTCATCAAAGGGTTGTCTGATTTCGTTGACTGTTCGGAAGTATTCATTCAATACAGCCTTCTTCATCTCCATCTGCAAGATCGGACTTATTAATATAATCTGCGTTGTGTTCTAGTCTGAGGCTATTTTGTAAATGTCCACACCATGAACCAATACATAATAATCAAGGCAGCTCTGGGGGGAAAGTGCTTATTTAAGGCGCTAAAGGCGAATCGTGTTAATTTTTGGCATACAAGCTTTTTAGGGGTATTGAGGGGTGCTGAATCCAAATATGCTGTATGCCAAGCTCACGAATGCCCCACAATGCCTCAATTTGAGAAATCCAAGATGGCCGCTAACGCCAAACTGAAACCTGAAACTTTACATATCACTTTCATTAATCTAGTAAGAAAGTTGAAAAATGCTTTTTGGAATGTTTCACACATGGGGATTGCAATGCAATACTCAGTTTTGTGATTAAATTGGAAGGAAATGATTGATTTTCATACCCATTGCAAAAATTATCATTTTGAACAATGAATATTCAGATGGTCAAAAACCCTGTCCTTCACCATCTCCATCTCAAGGTAAGTGTTTTAAAAACAATATGTCTATTTGCGGAATCACAGCAATGGAAAGAATGCAAATCGTTAATGCTGTCTGCTGTCTAAGCAGAATACACAGTAAAAGTTGTAAGCTTTCCCTCATTCCCATTCATATCTGGTGTTTTGGCAGTTGTTGTTAAGTTTCCTGCAGTTGCAAGCCTCAATGCATTCTATGCGAAATTTCCTGCAGCAGCAGCGTTAACTGAGGCAGCCTTTCATACAACTGCAAGATGTGATCTCCCTGCACGCTTTTGGGATAGGTGGCAGAGAGAGTAGCCACGCCACTAACTGTCCGTCTTGGTGAATCCACTCCATTTCAGTCACCGGAGGAAGATCTGGACATGGGCAGTGTGGACATGGGCAGTGGTTCCAGACACTTGTTGGTAGTAGGAACGCATGATGAGGAACCTGGCTGCGTCAGAGGTTGGTGGCAGAGTCTCTTGTACACGGCCAAGACAAAACAACTTAACTCGTGCTTTGTTGCATGTATCGACCCCAGGTACGCCATATATTTTACAGATGAACTTCCCTGTCGATCCAGTTAGGTTTTCATTGAAAGGGCCGTTTCCAAGGCCAGTGAGATCGGTATGGTGTTGCTTGAACACATTCCTTGCTGTTTTCTTACTGTGGCCACTGACGTGAGACACACTATCACATCCGGTGAAGGCATGGAAAGCAAGTAGTGTATCGACCTGATCTGCTGACAGTAGCCTGCGAATTTCGTGTACTTGGAGATACTTTGGAGCTTTCGATGTCCCAGCTTTCATGTAGAGATGAGTGCATCTCATTTTGTCACAGTGTGCCAGAAGTAGGAGAAGCGTGTCTGTGTCACGCACATAACAAGCGTCTTCATCTGAGTATGGATGCTATGTAAGTTGTGTGTCCGCTTCTTCATGATCAGCTCTCAGAGATGAGACTTCAAGCTCTGGATCAGACGACTTGACTGTAGTGGCCTCAATGAACCACCCTGCTACAACTACAGGTTTATTTATTGGGCTGTGTTCAATGAGATGGTTTGACAGTAGCACACCAACACATGCTCTATTTGCCTCCAGTGCAATAAATATAGACCAGTCTGATGGGAGAGGGACTGGCCCACACGCTAATTGACGACGTATCGGTCGTAGGCGCTGCTTGAGTTTTGCGCTTTTATGGAATCAACATGATACCTGTAGTCAAATACTACGTGAATTCTTTGATAACTTGTTTCATCTTGAACACCGTGGTTGCAAAGGCTCTGGCGTAGTCACCAAACGTTCTAATGTCTGGCGGCTTTCCGAGTACCATCACTAGGGCTTGGCCGTCAATGAGCAGGCAGCCGGACTCATCGCGTGTGACCTTAGCAGATGTTTGAACTTCTTGCATCAGTATACTGGCTGACACAGTTTTGTTAGTGGAATGTAGGGTACCACTAGTTGTGGCCAATGATAGTGGGACGGTCATGAGGACATGCTGTAGGATGTTTTCCAGCTTTACCCCACGCCCTGCTCTATAGGCTGTATTGAGCCTTTGTAGAATATTCCGGTCCACTTTGATAGTGCTTTGCTTTCCCTTGGAAGTTTGCACTACGTCATACAAAGAGGCAAATGTCTTGGCCTTATTCTTCTGAATAGGCGATTTCAGATCCAGGTGCTGGTCACTATCAACAGGCTCACACGGACGTTTGTCCACGAAGACTTTCATTTGCTCCTGTCCAAGGTGTTCTACACTAAGCAGAGATTGTTGGTTCAGTTATGTGGCCACATCCTTGTTGATGATGTTTATCAAGGTGTCACCACCATTTTGAAACATACAATGTTGTTTGCTTTCATCAGATTCGTCTTTATTCATCCTAGTTGTTGCACACTCATTATGTGTGTACTCATCGTCTTGTCGTCCTTCGTCATTTGCAGCATGCCCTTTGTCTGAGAAGCTATGAACCGTTCTGAGATTAAAAGACTGATGGTATTCTTGTGATGCCTACTAAGCCTCCACTACTCTTCTCTGTAGTATTCAGCCACTCAGTACTTTGGTCTGTTGAAACTTGATTGAAGCCTGGATCAGTGCGTTTGACTACAAATGTGCCGTTCTGGAACTCCCGGAGCACTTCTGCAGGGAGACATGACATTTCAGCCAGATATACAGTACCCCATCAGGCATAGTTCACATGATTGTACTTGAAGACGAATGGCAGCATACGTTTGAAAGCATACAGATATCCCATAACCCATCACGTTGTGCTCTTGAGAAGCAAAGTAGTATGCTGACCATAGTCATGTAGTCCCACCATAAGGCAGCATTAGGGTCATCAGCTGCAACACCTGCACTGAATTCTTTCAATGGCTGCTGAAATCTGTCAGTAGTCAGTTTGTCAACCATGCCAACAATGTGACTGGTATCTACGGACGTAGACAGATCTGCGAGCTCAGTAATCGGAGCTGCGTCTACCTCGTCCATGTAGGCATGGAGTCTTTGGAGGAGTATTTGCCAAAGAGCTTGAAAAGTTTGTGCATTTGTATGGCACGTGCATATCCCTTTCCTCCCATGAAAGCTGGGCAGCAGTGGTTCCCAATACATCACATTCTACCCATAGCTCGGTGAGACCGCACCCGGTCATATGTCGTCCGATTATACTGAGGAAGTTCATGGAAATGTAAAGTCCTCCAAGGCAAGGTATGAGTACGTTCTTATACTCTTCTACAGACCACTTCAGTTCCAACAGCTTCGGATAAAGGGCCTCGTTCACAGTCAGAACAACATGCTGCTGTCCCATAGACTTGGCTACAGGTATCACTCTCTTAACAACTGTGTTCAAGGTATCCAGTTAAGATGCAGGAGACTTTCTGATAGGTAGGTAGCCCGCTGTAGTTTTCTCTGGCTGACGCTCTGTGATCCTCTGTTTGGTGCAGGTATGATGACAGCCATCACTTCAGGTATATCGAAGGTTCCTGTCTTAGAAATGTCAATGCCACTGAGGAGATCATCTTCGGGCGGACCACGTTGCTACCTGAGTGGCATGGAATGTTCCTTTACCGTCCAGAGTGTTCTCATTAATGTCGACGTTGTCTGTTGAGAAATGGACAAAGCGGTCCTTTGCTAGGTTATGTGGCATAACAGCCCCAGTGCCATCCATGGTCTATAATGTCTTCTTGGCTAGTGCAGTATCAAGTTTGATAACTCATGACATGACCTGCCTGGTGAAACATGTTCACATGTTCACATGTTCTCGATCGAGTTGCTTGGTGAAGGGCATTGGCCAATCCTATGTGTTTTGGGGTCAAGAACTTGTCTCCATTAGCAGTGTACATAAAATCTTGAGCAATACTAGTGATTCTAGCTTGTCGTCGGTCGTCATTTATGTCATCTTCCAGGTCGTGAAACATGTACAAACTATCAAGTATGCTCTCTTATACTCTGTCTTCGCTGATGTCTATTCCTTTTGAATTGGGATGAGATACCATGTCACCACGTATCCGCAGTGCAACATGGACCATGGTCAGACATGTATCCTGCTCCTCATGTTTGAATGATGGAATGACTTTGTTAATATCCTTTGTATCAACTTTTGTTACCATTTCAGAAATCAGAATATGCCGAAATTTGAATGGTAGCAACACAGTATGAGGTTCGTTTCGAGCACGATCGTGCAATACAACAACATCATATATGCCCAAAAGAAGGTCCGCTAGTTTATCTTTGAAAGTGTTCCTCCGGGACATAAATGAAGATGGTATATCTATTTGGACATTCTTAGCTATTGTGCAGTACCTGTTCCATACATCTACGAGATCAAGCATATCACCATGTTTTGCCGATTGCTCAAGTTCTTGACAAAGCCAAAATAAGCTCATATCTGTGCTTTGTGGTGACACATCACTAATCCGCTTTGTGATACGAACAGGACAAGACAAGTCCGGTGAAAAGCTCCGTCTGCAGCTGTAAGATTATTTACACAAGCCATTGGTCATACTTTGCTGCTTCCAGTATTCTGGTGCTGACTTTGGATTCTTGCATGAGATGAAGTGATTCTTTCTTGTCTTTTTGACAAACGACACACTTCTTCCAATCAGTCGCAGATGTTTTGCTTCGAAGAACAACACTTGGTGAAGTTTGCTGTTTGCTTCTCTCAATGCAGCATTCTCTAGTCTTTCGACTTTTGATTTACTCATGTAGCTAGATCGTCCTTATGCCATAAGATTGGCTGAGATGAGTCCATTTGGAGTATTTCAGTGAGTCGATCAGTTACTTCTCTGAAATTGTTATATTGTAATTTAAAACGAAGTTGTCTAATAGTATTGACTGACCGAAGACCATCATATATTTATGGGCAGTGCCAAACAAACCTGCACACATGTTGTACATCATTACAGGACATATCAACTTAACCATCTTATGGATGGTATTATAAATTGAAACACAAATTTATTGTTAGAAATGACATTTGTTTTGCAAAAGATTTACAATTCAAGAATTTTCTACAATTTTAATCATGAAAATGAGTGCTGCATTTTTGCATTCCCCATATGTGAAAACATAAGAAAGCATACTTTTTCAACTTTCGTCCTTGATAAATGAAAGAGATATGTTAGTTTTCAATCAATCTGGCTTTGGCGGCCATCTTGGATTTCTGCATTTTGAGGCATTATAGGGCATTGTTTAGCTTAGCATACAGCATATTTGGATTCAGAACCCCTCAATACCCTTAAAAAGCGTGCATTAAAAAATTAACACAATTTGCCTTCAGGGTTAACAATTTGAGTAATTTGCCATAGTCTAACAGGTTACAAGGTAAATACAGGAATTCTGCAGATCTGTGTATAAACATGCCGACAAAAATGACAGCGTTTTGAGCGTTATATGAAATGCAATTTCATTCCAAATCTACTTTTAAGGCGTTATTTGTTCAACTGCATGTTCTACTACAAAATGTGGCTGAAAAGTCCCGAGAGACTACATTGACTGATTTGGTTGTTTCCTTTCGACATCAGCACCCGTTGAGGTTCACACACTTCTGAAAAAAACAACCGGTGAAACAAACCTTCCGAAACAATTTTACCGTCAAACTGGAGAGTCGGAAAGAATTGTGTCGATACAGAAGGTATTCGATGAGGTAGATTCACAACCATTCATTGCAGATATGGTGACATGATGTCTAATTCACACAACATACTTTCAGTGAGTTATCCACGTCGCAGTTGCCTGGGCATGTTGAAATAATAATTGCCGGATTTTGGGGTAGTAGTCAAGTAGCAATGCTCCATGGAATCCCAGAAATCCCACTGCGTCATACGGCAATGCTTTAACTGTTCTTTAGTCTATGTCTGAAAGCGGTAAACCCAAGAGACATCCGTGGTGACAAATCGCTAATGGGTCACTGGTTTTGCTTAAAAACAACGTAAATTCTGAGGGCTGATGATGAACTCGCAACACTTCTGATCAGGATTGCATGTATGAAGGTTTTAAAGCCAGCGTGCTGAAACGTTTGGCAAACCAAGTCCCTTCACCAGATTGCTCTCAGCTTTACCATGATAGATGATAGATGCCAACTCAACTGGCTATGTGGCATATGATTAAGCGTCCATAAACACACGGCACAAGACGCGCACTAACGCTGCTAATGCTGCTACTTTGTTATGCTCAGAAGCTTTGAACCATCCCCCGGTGAATCACTGAACACCCTCTGCTGACTAAACTCATGTTCCAAATACTTCGTTTCCATAAGTACTCCTCGGTGTTCAGTATTAGTGAAAGTGAATGATTGTGTTGAAATAGCTCTAATAGATATTCAATAGAATATTTCAATAATATGTTTCATTTGTTGTATAGACTTTCTCAATCACAAGAACTTATCCCACCTTGGATATCTTCCCTTGTTTCCAGTACTTCCGGAGCATAATGTTGAAGATTGTGAAGAGGCCATCGGCCGAGGACACAGCATTACCGTAGAGCAGCTCGGGATCGTGGATAGGGATTGAACACACAAGATGGCCACCTGTCCACAAGTGTTTAAACTATAGGTTGGTACGCCAACATGGTATTTTCAGGTTTCTGCACTTGGGTTAGTATATAAATGTGTGATATTACCGTCGCAAATAAATGAAGAAGCATATCATATAGATGACGTCATATACTACTATTGCGTCACACATCAAGGTTTTCAGTGACGTCATGCCTAAACATATTTACGGCACTTCCCTCAGTGGACCCAAATGTCATCAAGTAGTCAATGACGTTTGGTTTACATCTCCATATACTGGCATTGATAGCCGTGCATAACGCCGTAAGAACACACACACACATACACACACACATACACACACACACACACATACACACACACACACACACACATGCACACATATTTAGCCGTTCAGCGATTACAAAATAATATCAAAAGGCATGTTTAAGACGAGTAAGACACTGATGCAACAGTCACCGTACCTTTCTTGAGTTCCCTGGACCTACAGTGAAGAAAATTATTCCAGTCATCAGATGCGATTTTCTTGGCAGCGTCCCTGGACATCGTGTTCAGAAATAGATCAGAGGTCGCGTCGCCATTTAGGTCAACAGGTCTGGAAGAAATGCAGACAACTTCAGGAAATCCACGTATTGTATCATACGTAACGCAACTGTAATTTTAAGTACAAACAACAACACAACGAAAGGGAGGTGTGAACAGTTTGTTCTACCTGGAGAGCCAGTGCAGTGCGATGAAACACAACATCATGTCCATGGAACTGGAGGGCACGCACTGTTGGTAGAAGTTGGTGGCACATGCTGATATGAAAAGTCGTGAGTCGTTGCCAAGGTAACTGGGGGGCTCACACACGGGACCTGAGAAACACACAAACTACTTTGTCGGCATCACCATATACACCAATAACTAATCATACGGGCGTTAAGTGCTTTTCCATGTATAGTATTTGATACATATTTATGTAAGGCACATATTTTACACATTTTATGTATTCATTTTATTCTATTTATTGACATTTGGAATTGTTCAACTAATATGGATTTGTGAATATGTGCTGCCTCTTTAAAGGTGATCAACCGTATATGACCACAATGTATACTATCAATGTCCGTTCCTCTTTTAAAATAGATTCCAAATTTTGTTTTGTTTTTTTGTTTTGTTTTTGCTTTTTTTGTGTGTGTGTTTTTTGTTATGCTCTAATACTGTCGAAATGGTGTTAAGTCATTATCTAGTGGAATAAAACCAAATGCTTTTTTTAAAAAGCGCAGAGGTTTTGACTAACCGTTTGAAATCTCAGGAAAGATTTCAGTTCAAATATGTCAAAAAGTTGTACACCCAGATATCACACAACAGGCTTAATAAAATCTATAAATCTTTGATCATTGGGGCAGTCCTCACAAACCTTGATGTGCTAGGTGCAGTTATATCTTTATATTGGGTGGTTGAGCATATTCTTCTTTAGAATAAAAGCACAAATTGTTCAAACGTTTCCTGAGAAAACAAATTGTGAAATGCAGGACTTCTTTTTCAATATCGTACATGTGTAATTTGGGGACGGGACATTTCCGGAAGAAGTAGTTATCCCTGTATATGTACATAATCTTCGACCCACTGCTTACCATTGTTCCTGGGTTAGATTGTCAAACGTTGTGGAAAGGAATTTGTCCAAGAAGTTTATTGTAAGCTTTAGTTATATCAGTCATGTCATGTCATGGCCAAACAGCCGCTCCCTTCTAATGATTTACGCCCAACAGAAACTGCCATCACTCAGATCGGTCCGTCTCGTTTCATATTTGGATAAAAGCATAAACGTGAGTGTATGTAAACTAAAACAAGGTCGTATGATATGAAGGACATATTCAACCGACATGAGCTACCTACAAATATGCTCCAGATTTCGAGTCACATGTGTTATTACGAAAACGGAAGACATACAGTTTTTCTTTCTTCAAGCACGATATAGGTTCATTGGAGTCAGGCATATGGCAGTGCTCTGTGTACATTTTCTAAACACACATGACCTATTTGTTCTGTCTGGTCACACGACATAGGTCATTGTGTGGGTGGCGAAGCTGCTGTGAATGAACACTACCCGGCAGCTGATAGTGGTTCCCCCCATGACCTCTGTGCGTAATCAGTGTCACCACGTCTAACCACACCGGGCTAGCCACACACGGGAATGTCATGATTCCACCATCAACCAAACACTCTAGGACATGAACCCGAGACGTACACAATCACATGTTTACTGAATGCTTAAACCCAGGTACATGCTCACCATACAGTTTGTGAAAGAGCGAGTTGAAGTCATTCTTGTAAGTATCTTCATACATGACGCTTATCTCAAGGTCGCCACCATAGAGGCGGCGGATTTCTTCTGAAAGGGAAACAGAACCATGTCCATTGAAACTACATCCGATCCAAATGCACAGATGATTGGAATAGGAATGTTTAACTGTTATTGTCAACAGAGTCATAGTGAGAACACGACACATCCCATTTTATACATTTATACTTATCTCTCACTTAGTCTGGAAACCAGACGCCCAGAATGGTGAAAATGTGGTGCAGTTCTGGCGACTGAATAGGATGTGATTTTTAACAATCAGGGATGATTGAGCTTTGATTTAAAGCCGGTTGTCACTAGCTACCGTGCGTGAACACCGTGCGCCCTTTTAAGATGCAACATATCCTTTCAGCTATGGTAATATACTGAGGGAAAAAATAAGGGATCACATGAAAGCACAAGTGTTCCTTTATCTTTTTCCAGGTATCTTCACAAGCTATGCGATACAAAGCTTGTGAAGAAATCTTGGAAAAAAATATAGGAACACTTGTGCTTATGTCATCCATTATTTTTTCCCTCAGTATATTTTCACCGATAACTGGATGAATTAGTTTAAGAACTTGGTTTGGAGGGTCCAATTTTAATCAAAACAGTACCACCGGTGGGGGAGGATACGCTCACCTTTCACGAACACCTGGTATCATCACAGTTTCATAGTAATTCATAAACACATGCTCTGTCATCGTATCGAATGGTAACAATCACTGGATTGTCTGGTTCAGAACCGATTTGGTTAAAACAAGATCATGCAACTGTGATACTGCTGAAACAGATATCTGCTCATGATATAGTCGCAATTGTACACTCGACTCGATTGTGGACAATAATATTATGCATATGTTCACCGTACAAATGTTATGGTAAGGTCAAATGTCAATTTTAATAGAGAGTGCATTTGATGAGAAATATATGAGTTTAGGTTTACAAATTCAAGGTAATATTACCAAAATGATGTTTTTCTAATTCCGCTATATCATTTGAAAATCACATATACGTTTGGTTGGCACTGTCTGCATGAAAAACCATTACAAGGAACGAAAAGTGTGTACTTTGTATTTAGATTAGCACAATATTACATAAGATCTTTTCAACAGTAACAGCTCCATGCTTTACATAGTATCAACGATACCACATATGTCGAGATAGTGTTGGACTATCATTAAAATCACACAAAATAACAGAAAGTTCTTAAAAGTATAATTCTGTTTATCTTTGCTCATCAAAGTATGATGAGTCAGTCATGTCATCAACATGCAAGCAACATTTCCTTCACGTCAATTCGTATCTATTGTTCATAATAGTGACAGTGTATTCCCAGTTGACATGTTAATCAATGTCAACAATGTCAAGATCACGGAACATGCTTCAGGTCCACTTCCACATGCTGAGGTACACACCAGGTTCAACCTCTTACAGCTACACCTTACTGTACATTGTCATTTACATGCACATATATGAAGCTGGAGAAGGTCCACGGGTACCATTCAGTCTAAACATATTTATCACAGAGGAATATTTGATGAAGATATATTACGACAGAAACTTATTGGTTTGAATACAAAACTTTAAGTGCCTACTTTAATGGATAATTCAACGGTAGATATTTATATGAATATTATGCTTCTACTATAACGTTTATAAAGATATGCATGCTTCAGTTTTAGGAATATCTAACAGTATTCACAGAAGAGTTACACATAACATGGTCATGACACTATGAGCATCGATCTTTGCAAGTGGGATACGGTGGCATGCATCAACCAGGTATGTGAGAACAACCACCCAATCACATTAGTTGCTTCTTACGACAACATGGTTTGCTGAAGATCAATTTTGACCTAGATTGTATTAGGGATCTAACATATTTGTGAACCTGCGAGAATGGTGAATCAATATAAGCATATATTTAGTCAGTCTCATGGCATGGATTGTAGGTAATTCCAAATACAATTTTAGACACCATAATTTATGTTGCCAATATCAGCTGGTTTCTGCATAAGTCGTACCCAAGAGAGGGAATTGTCAAGTTACATTGAATCAATATCAGCTATTCAATACACGCACAAAAGTTGGTATAGTCGTTTGCAGAAGGGTTAGATTCTTTAGAAATAGATTTTGCTCGGAAAACCTTGAATCGTACATAAATATTGGCAGTATTGACGATGATTTCGTCTAGGTGAATATCACCACGCCAACTGTCGTTCAAATCCCGATGTCAGTATGTCGCATGACTACATTGTCAGTCGAGCGGAGAGTTGACAATAGTTAGCGTATCATGGTATTGGCTCACGTGAATCACTATCTCCATCAGCTGATGAACGTCAATAATACAACGTCAGCTTAAAACAGTGACAGATCTCACCCTCATGATAACATTACTCGGAAATTAGTTTTTTTAAAAAGTATTTCCCTCCTTGCAAGAACCCCATTTACTCTATGTCGCTGGGACCTTGTATATGCCAATAGTCTGTCTTGTACTTCAAATTTTCTGCCCAACCTCTTTTTGCAATGCAATAGTCCAAAATGAAGCAAGTCTAGACTTCAATTGGTTTTGAAACGCCGAGATCACTGGGCTAATTCAGTATTAACGGAGTCAAATATTTCAATCGAAATTTTCTATTTTCCGAGACTTAGCGCTCCGTATAACGTGCCAGGATCCTGTAATTATGGATCGAAATATGCCCTTGATATGCTAATTTGTTTATCAAGACCATATCTATATTTCTGAATGTCGCCCTCATTAGACAACTGTTGTTAGATCTAATATTCAACTTGCCCACTTGCCTAGTCTTTTTATGACATATGTTTGGGTTTGGGGGGGGGGGTATTTTGCGTGTCTTTGTTTGTTTCTTGTTGTATTGGGGCTATTCAAGATGAAATCCATCCTAGCAGAATAAATTGATTATTTTCTGACAACACAGCAGTAGCGAGCGAAGTGACATTTGTTTTGTACCATATTTCACATTATTAACACTAAAACATTTACACACCATAATGGCATAATGTTACCTGCAAAGCATTAAGATATTGATATCCACCATCAGCTTTAAGGGTTTTATAGCAGTGCGTGGAGAGTGAGGAGACACAAAATTTTAATGACAATATTGACACTTCTTAAAACATATCTTCTGTTTCTGCCTGAAATATACGGAAATGTGTATGATAGCCCACCAATATCTTCGACATAGTTGGTATTATTGATACTTTGTAAAGCATAGAGCTGAAATTTGCTAATATTTTGCTAATCTAAGCACAAGTACCGACTTTTGTTTCCTTGTAATGGTTTTCCAAGCGTACATTGCCAACCAAACGTTTATATGATCTTCAGATGATATTGCTAAATTGGAAAAACAAAATTTTGATAAAATGTCCTTTAACTTGAAATCTTAACTCATATTTTTCTCACCAAATGCATTTTCTCTTGACATTTGACCTTAAAAAATATTTTTAAGATGACCTTATATCTAATATTATTATCCACAATATTAAATCATGATCTCAGCAAAATTACTACTTGATGAAAAGCGGTCACCCCAAACCAGACTTCTTAAATTAAACCATCCAGTTATTGGTGAAAATATCACCATTGCTGAAATGGCATGTTGCATCTTACAAGGGCCCCTCCTACAGTATTCACGGTAGCTGGTGACAACCGGCTTTAAATCAAAGCTCAATCATCCCTGATTGTGAAAAATCACATCCTATTCGGTCGCCAGAACTGCACCATATTTTCACCATTTTCGGGGTCTGGGTTCTAAACCAACTAGGAGCTATTCAATTGCGACAGGACTTGAACATGTACATTAATTACCACGGCGCGTGACAAAGGTCTATGTAAACAACATATACCTACTGCCACAACAGCCATACGGTCAGCGCATTTACTACTGGTTTTCATTGTTAAGTGTCCCGCTTTTGCATGTTATCACTTTTACTGTTTTCATATGTACATATAAAGCTACTTGCTTTCTAGCTTTCATTCGCCTAATTTAGTCAATGTCAACAATGCCAGGATCACGGAGCATGTTTCAGGTCCACATCCACATGCTGAGGTACGCAACAGGTTCAACCTCTTAAAGCCACACCTTCCTGTACATTGACTTTTACGTGCATAGATATGAAGCTGAAGAAGGTCCACGGAAACGAATTAGTCTAGACATATTTGCAACTTTATCACAGAGGAATATTTGATGAAGATCTATTACGACAGAAACGTATTGCTTTAAGTGCAAAACTTTACGTGCCTTCTTTAAATGGACAATTCAAAGATGTTCCTAGATATTTATACAATATAATCTTAAACATCGTACTCCTCATGTTACAAAAGTTGACATCCATAAATGTCCCCCCTTTTGGTCAAACTAGAAGTCGTGATGCACGAACGTAAGAGGCACATGTGCTTCGCGTGATTCCCACAGTTATCAAGTTCAATTTAAGTAACATATTGCACACAGCTATGACAATCTTAAATTCCATTGCGTGTCAGACAATCTCTTCTTGGCACAGAGACATTGTGACCTGAATGACGGTCAGTGTTTCAAGGTCACCCCTTTGAGTGCTTTCACACCACACGACAAGTCACCATTGTTCATGCTCTTCAAAATACATATGCCCATGGTCCCTGGTATGGTGATCTACCTTCAGTTATTGGCGATTTATAGCCCATTTTTATACTGTATTGTTTTCCCCTATAGTTAAAACGTTTTAGATTTATTTACTAGTTTTACATACATATCTGTGATATTCTAGTTGTTTTACTGTCCTTCGTTGACAGGGTTTTATATATTATCTGTATGTATTATAAATTTAGAACTAGTTTTAGTCACGATATGGCTGAAATATTGCCGATGTGACTTTAAATTTTAACTCACTCACTCAAAATACATATGTAACACATTGTACAACCATAGTATAGTAATACTCCGGATGTAATTTCATGTAATTTCTGATTAGAGGACAATGAAGTGTTTAATCTAAACATGACCAGACATAATATTATATATTAGCAAAGTTAATATATGACCAAACTTAAAAAATATGGATATCTTTGTTTTGAGGACATGATTATTATAATCACAGTTAGTTTATCTATTTGAAATATAATGCCATTTTAGAAAGTGGTCAAATACAACGCATTTGTATATTTGGGATTACACTTTCTCAGTGATACAGTGATAAGAATCGACTGAAGAGCCTATGACTGTAGTTTTGACTGCACGCAGTATGGATATGACACATGAAAAACACCATTTATAATAGATCTCTAACTATCAGACAATTACAGACGAGGTTTAGACAAAAGATATTGATACTGACCTAACATAGCCTGTATAACGTCCATCGATATGGATGCATCCGCCACACCATAGTCTCCTATGTGGAACTCGTTGGACGACACAGGAATCTTACCTGCAAAAACGCGATGTTTGTCATCATCAAAATAATGAAGCAAGAATGAACCAAATCACAAGTTACTATTCAGAACTACCATAAAGGATACAATAAAGGTTCAGAATAGCTAAGGAACGTCTTTGTAATAGTGAACTAAATCTCGTACCATTTCATATTAAAATGCCAACATAATATTACTCAAATAGTACTTTACTTTGTTTGTTCTACGTTGTATGTGTATTCACAATAATGGATAACTTGTGTTTATACTGTGCATGTCACATGCCCGCTGATTTATAGCATATGCAAAAGATGAAACGCATTTAGGTTAGTCAGAAGGAATTGTTTAAAGGACCTGGTTTACACTCACGTAAAGCGTCGATGATGTCGTGTTTTATGGCGGCAGCTGCATTACGTTCGCTAACAAATTGGACCCTGTGGTTGCCTCGCTTCATCCCCTCCATTCTGTAAATCTGTTCTGATGTCAAGTTGTAGTCTTCAAAGAAGTGAAGTAAGTCCCCAAAACATTCAAAGTACATTTAAACCAACTGCTATATTTAATCGTAATATATGTATTATTTTAATTTATGGCTAGATTCGTCGACAATTGCTGACAGCTGAAAGTATGGTGTAAATCCATCTAGGGTCCATGGAGGAATCAAATGTACTGTATATCCCCAGGGTCCCTAGTATGGTGATCTGCCTTCAGTTGTTGGCAATCTATAGCCTCTTTTACTGTCTTGTCATCCATAGTTAAACTGTTTTAGATTTAATTACTAATTTTAAGTTCATATTTGTGATAATCTAGTTGTTTTACTATCCTTCGTTGACAGTTTTTTAAAATTTAACTTTAATTATTATAAATCTATAACTTGATTTCGTCACTATATGGCTGCAATACTACCGATGTGACTTAAAATCTCAACTCAAGCAAACTTTCCAGAAGGAAGTAATATAAAAATGTGTGTCCTGAAAGACACAGCCCGACTCTAAATAGAATACGACGGCGTTTGCAGATAAGGGAGACGCACGGCAGGAGCAGACTGACGCAGATCAGACAATGCCACCAGCCACATAGAATAGAAGGGTTCTGGGTGAGAGCCACTTCCTTTAACAAAACCATTCCTACATGTACATATCGAAAAGGTATTGTGCTTCAATGTGTGCACGAACGAGGCATGTGACGTTAAACACAAACATTATATTCATAAGTAAATCAACCCCAGACAAGGAAGGACTATCGGGTTTATGTGAGGCTGCTTCTTGAATTATGTATTGTCGGGGGAAGAAATGTTGATAGTGACTTTATAATTTGTTTTTGGAAAGATAACATTCGAGATAATGTATCAAACATTTCGTAACAGATCAGAGATGAAATTGGCATCACTGTTCAGGTCCATGAAGGTTTGTTTTGAACCTTAAAGGTTATAAGGACACCTTGTTGCTGGTTACTTGCGGAACAAATTAAGCGACCAGTGAAGCCGCCTCGTCTATGCATAAACATTCAGAGCGACACAGTTTCACACAAGGCTTTCACCTCTATGCATACGGTTCGAATATATCTTCGCATTCTGCTCAAAACATTGAAAAATGCAAGGGATTATCAAAGCTTTCGGCATATCAAGCTGACAAAGATTCAAAAAATAGATTATACTAATTCATAAACAAATATGTTATTGATGATGTAGACGTAATTCGAACTGGATATCGATCGATTGGCATTTTAAATAGGACAGTTTGAGAACTTAAAGACATAGACAATTTATGTACGCACGAAGTAAATGCATCGACAATGGTATCACCTTTTCATATATTTCAGCTTATACTTTTCTTTCCTTTCAATTAACTACGCTATGGAGTTTTCGCAAAAGAAAATCTGGGTCCAGCTTGGATCGAATTCATATGAATCTGCCTCGCTGTAATTTACTCAACATTGCACTAATACGCATTGTACTTCTCACTAGAAAGGATAAAACATGATTTGACTTTCTGACACTAACTACTAGCTTAAAATTGGTTCACGATATAGAACCATCACATAGTAAATATATAGGATAAATAGTTATAACAAAACGTAAATGTAACAGTGTCATAAAGGTAAACGTTACTTGCTCTTCATTTATCTAACTCAAGCCAACATTAGTATTCCCATTTACCTTAATGAAGTATAAGTCAGCAACCTTTGACGGAAATGGTGCACACTGCTTCTGAATGTAGACAACGACAGTGATATGCGCTTCTTGTTTAATAGCATAGACTCTCAATGTTGCCTAATCAGCTGCTTCATTATTTATATATGGCCATGTATGTGCTGACGCTCACAAACACGTCATAGTTCAGTAGAGACGAACAGGTCTACAGATCATGGTACCAATGCCCTTGACCTTCTTTAATTTTTTTATAAATAATCACCATGTCGATACCTTACTCCTGTTACAAAAACAGTGTTTTCACCATATTCCCTTACAAATGCATGACTACTAGGTGGATAAGATGTGGATTATATGCAAGAATACACAGTTTAGTAGAACTGATCAGTATACTTCACAATGTGCCGTGACTATGCACGAAATGTGTAGCCTAGGCCTACGGATAGCACGTGCCAAGCCCTAGAATCCTGAGGTGTCCATGCAGCAAGCAGTGTTCCAACTATGACCTTTAAGGTGGTTAAAAATGACCGATGAATATATCAAAATCCTTCCCTAAGGCCCAAAATATACATACGTAATATATGATATCTTAACAATTTGTGATCTACCTTCAGTTGTTGGCGATCTATAGCCCGTTTTTATATTGTATTGTTTTCGTAATTAAAATAGTTTTAGATGTTCATGCTAGTTTTAGACTCCATCTGTGATACTTTAGTTATTTTACTGTCCTTCGTTGACAGGGTTTTATATATTATATGTATGTATTATAAATTATAAATTTAGAACTAGTTTTAGTCACGATATGGCTGCAATATTGCCGATGTGACTTCAAATCTTAACTCACTCACTCACTCTTAACAATTTGTCGACTACTGGCGACAAAATCTTTTTCCGTGACGAGAAACTGTCCATTCTACAATTCCAACCAAATTTTGAGCATATCTTTATGAATCATTTTCAAATTGTAATGACACAAGATGAGCTCACATATAACCTCCATCAACAGTGGAAACACGGTCGGCAAGGGTTATGAATTGTTAACATATAAGACAATTAACATAAGACATAGTACCAAACCCGTCCCCGCGAAATAGCCCTGTCGCCTTATTTTACAGTTATTTTGCTGACATAAAAATTGGAAGTCACCAGTCAAATATAAGTGATACAATATAGGTATCAACCATGCTTTTCTCTCAGTGTGTACAGCAGAATTCAAAATGGTTCAGAGGACACATACTTGCCGCGTCTTGAGTCTAAACACAGCCCGTATCGTCCTGTTAACAGATGGACCTTCTACCTGTAATCCGCGATATTAGTTATAGCAACTTAGTACTATTGTAATCCACTGCACAGATATCACGTAATGACATGCACTTGGTCATGGAATGTCTTGCCACGTGCATTGACAGTGATAGTTTGGCCCCGACTCTTCGTTCTACTAGTTCACGAAGCGATATCAAAGGCATGGTAAACGAACGATAAAACAGTCATGCTTTCCTGTGATGGTCCCGCCTGATTGTACGACTGGTTTGGTGACATACGACGTAGGTAATATAATAATGCTTATTAACCGTAAACAACTATGTGATGAGACATTCAAAACCAAATAACACCACAGAAGCCACCCTGTAACTTTATTTATTTCCATCACTAGGGATGGCTATAAATAGATCATAGATATCGATCATCGTTAACACAATATCGGTCGATTATCGATAAATATCAGGGACGTAGCTTTGAGCAAAAATGCTAAACCGTCTGAAACAAATGGATATATTTCACATCACTGGTGAGTTGTGACATGTGTTTACATGAATCATTAACCAAATAGAGCCCTGTACGTAATTCAGAAGCAGACCATGAAAAGAGTCCTAAATTTGTATTTTGCCTTAGGAAATAATAACTTTTTTCTATCATAAAAGTTTATGTACGCTATTATCGCCAATACAGATTTCATATTGTTATTCTAGGAGACAAGTGAGAACGTCCCAACTGTTTGATATTTAGATATATGCATAAAGATTCAGAGCGACAAAAAAAACCTCTCCACATGACTTTTCGACAAAAGGGATGATTGCAACTTCACTTTCATGTAGAGCAATATTCCAACAGATCAATCCTTTTGTGTTAAAACTTTACATTTCACAACTTTTGAGGACAAAAATTATGTCCAATGCAATTCCTTATTTTGACTTGTACCATACGTTCCCGAATTATATCAGGTGAACAATTGACAGACTAAGCATATGTTTATGACGGGTGCCATCGGTGGGACGGGATACGTTCATCTTATCGCGAACACCTGGTATTATCACTATTTCATAGTGATTCATAAACACATGCTCTGTCATCGTATCGCATGGTGGCCATCACTGGATTGTCTGGTCCAGACTCGACTTGTTTACGAACAACATCGTACAGCTGTAATACTGCTGAACCAAATACATACTCGTGATATAGTCAGAATTGTACACTCGACTGTACTTTAAGGAGATATTTCTTATGCATGTGGACATGATGTTTTCGCTTCTATTTGATATTTTTCCTATTGACGATATTTCCGATTATCGATCAGTTTGGCCAGCCCTATCCATCACTATGTCTGACGCAAGGTTTGCTTGATGCAATGCTACTCTACATGGATGTCCTAGTGCTTTACGCCACGTACCTCTATATCTTCAGAAATTTTATTCTTTTCCTGGACATCTGGTATTCATAAGGTCACATTCCACCTGCCATGTAATGACATCTATCCTTAATTCCGTTCCTTTTGCATGCCAGATGTCTCTGCAAGTCTTCATTTAGTGTGTATCCAGTATTCTACTGCATACACCTGTTGCTAGATACGCCACAGTGATTCAGTCACATACATATGATGAATACAGACGCCCATCTGTCGCATACATATGTTATGTGCAACCGCAATTGTCTTTTACGTGTTACGCTTTCATTCATTGAGTCACCTATTGCTGCTGTATTAGAGACGTGTGTCTCCTTTATTCATTTGCATTTAGCTGATGTATAAACTACTTTAAGAAAGTAATTCTCGCTCGAGTAGAAGCCTGAGTGCAAGAGCATTTACCAACATTTCCAAACAAGCTCCAGTTTGGCTTTAGAAAACAACACGGAGCAACCAATTCAGTGTTTACTTTAAATAAAAGTTGACCCTGCTATTTAAGCAGACATTCACAGGTTTGTACGGCTTTTATGGACCACGGAAATGCGTCCGACCGCATATGACTCTTTTAAAGTTGTATGAAACGGGTATGAAAGGCAAAATGTGGCAGCTCCTATACCAAAGCTAAACATCAAGTTCTGCATTTGTTCAACATTGTGGCTTAAAATCAAATGAATATGCTATACAACAAGGTGTCGGACAAGGAATGGTCTTGTCCTCCTGTTTTTTTTCTCCTTTTTATCAATGACTTAATATGTGAACTTAGAACCTTAAACATTGGTAGTCGCGAATACGATATTGATATCCCCTGTATTTTATTGGCTGATGACACTACACTTGCTTCTACTTCTCCTGAAGTATACAGTCGTCACTTGCCACTGTGTATACCTATCCTTGTAAGTGGCGGTTTACAGATGACGGTTCAAAGAGTACTTGCATTATATTCCGTAAATCTAAGAAAGGCCAAGATGACTGATTATTCTTTCGGATTTTGCGAAACAGATATTCCAATAAGTGAAAGTGTCAAATACGGAGGTATTATGCTTTCCTCTGATTTATCCTCCAAATCTAGACTGTACGCATATTGTCAAAAAGCACGACAATCTGCAAGCTCCCTAAGTAATCTCGGCTTAAAGAGTAAAGATCTCCACCCTACCTCCTGTGTAAAAATATGGAGGAGGATGATACTCCCCACAAGCTTCTATATGTGTTAACGTTTACCTATTCTGCATGGTAGAGACTATGAATTAGTCGAAAGCATGCAAAGATACTTTGCCAGATGTATTCAGGGCTTTGGCAACTTTTTTCATCTGCCTCGGTGCTAGGGCTTATATTTCTTGGCAGACTATGCAACAGTCAATGCGACTCCTCCTTTAAGGATTTATTATGTGCCCAGTTAGCCACTTTTCTAAATAGAACAACAGCGTCACATAGTATATGTGACATGTCTCTACAGACCATCCTGAAATACAATCTTTTTTAAATATGTAAGTGACTATCGCGAAACTGGGAAGTTTCCATGTAAATCCTCATGGCGTAAAATAGTTATCAACTGTGTTAATGAAACAGAAACTGTACGGTGGGCTACTCAAGTGTGTGTGAGACAGGATATGTCCAGATACCGCCTAACCCACTGTACCTTTGGTACATAGACTATATTGTTTGATGTATGTTTATCCAAAATACAGACATTTTACAATTTTGTGTAGAAATCAAGTCTAGAGCAAAATGTATACAGACTTGTGTCTCCTTCCTCCAGTTACATGTATCTGCCGTATGCCGACTTGCGTCTCCTTCCTCCAGTTACATATATCTGTTGTATACAGACGTGTGTCTCCTTCATCCAGTTACATATATCTGCTGTATACAGACTTATGTCTCTTTCATCCAGTTACATATAACTGCTCTATACAGACTTGTGTCTCTTTCATCCAGTTACATATATCTGCTGTATACATACTTGTTTCTACTTCTTTTAGTTACATGCAACTGCTCTATACAGACTTGTGTCGCTTTCATCCACTTACATATGTCTGCTGTAAAGAGACATGCGTCCCCTGTGTACAGATGTGTGTTTCCTTCATTCAGTTACATATATCTGCTGTCTAAAGACGTGTGTCGATTGGTCGAAACATTTTGAGAATAAGTATGGAATAGGTTTTCCCTATTTTAGCGCCAAGAGCATGCTTACGAACATGGATATGTGCGCAATATAAATATGCACTACTAGAAGTGCATTTGCTCTTCGACAGAGAGAAAAAAACAAAACCGAAAGACAGACGGTAGAGCGGATAGACAGACGGACAGTTAGGTGTTTCGCTCTCTTTTCTCTGCTAAATGCCAGCTGAACCATGTAGTGTGTGCATAACATTTAAAGAAAAAAAGCATCTTATATTTTCAACCCCGAACATTGATGAGATCGACCAGCCTGTTAGGATACGAATGTTCATCAATGTCAGCACAGTGCATCATCTGCAGGATGCACCAAAGACTTTGCTCCAAGTCTGTAGCATACTCAAATCAAATTCAAATCAATTTATGTCTCGAAACACCACCAACGGTGCTACATGAGAATACAAAAGTAGAATATTCATATAAATTAACATATCAAGATGGCAAATAAAACAAACAACAACAAAAACAGACGTTAATGTATCTTTGTAGACTTAAATATTACATTCATATACATAACAAGATTTTTAAGATTACACGTTTGTTTAGACGAGGACGGTTTGTCGACTTTCCATAAGTTAACTGACTTCCGGTAAGATGATAAATATGTTTGTCTATACAATAGTAAAGCTTCACATTTGATCAGATAATGGAATTCATCTCTCCACTGCATGCGAGTTACATACATTACAAAAACGATATTCTCTAGGAACATTTGTCCCACGATCAACTTCTACAGGTAGCAACAGTGGGTATTGTTTTCACTTTTGCATGCAAAGTGTGTGCGTGTCAGGTTCCACAAGAGGGATCTGTTTCAGGATTAATCGAAACCAATTAAACTCTATCCCGAGCCCATACTGTGTCGCCAAAACAAGTTGATTTCATACTCGTTTTTCTTGCTTGCAAGCAGCAGAATCAAAATTCAAAATGACACATCCGGGTCTCTCTTTGTGACGGTTTGGCTTTTTGTGTTTTTGTACAACGAAGTCGGTGACATGTTATCGTGTCACATATTTGTCTCGACAATCAGTTGATAGCAGACTCGGTGTTTACATGTTGGTAGGAGTATTGTTGTGCTGAGTGGGGTAACAGACAAATACTTAGTTTGTATGCACACTGTGTGAGCGGCAGGTGCTACTTGTGGAGTGGGTCATCTGGTACCATCGCTGATCTTCAGTGATCCGCCTATGAAATTTTCAATTCTATTTCCTTACCCGATATATTATTCTATTCTGTCATATGTCTAAAAAGAATATTCTCGTTTTATTTGCTAAGTTGAGATACAGAAACAATAAATACTTTCAGAACATATCTAACAATGTTAACATTTCCTTACTCGAGGTCCTCGAAATATAACCAAGGACCGGGATCAAATCTGTGAAAGCAGACAAACACGATTGCCAGGTCTTGAGTCCTCTGCCTCCAGCTTTTATCGCGATACGAGAGGTTATTTGTATACCCCCAGGTGTTGTGCAGTCACAACTATCTCAAAGTCATAGGTTTAGAGAGTTTTACTGATATTTTATGTTGTTTTCTTATGCTAGTGTTTTCAAAGATACATTTATACCCATACTAATAATTGTAGTTACATCAATGCTTACACAGTAACAG